TGGCCCAGTGGTGTTTCCTACTTTCTTCAGTTTAAGCTTGAGTTAAAGATACTGGTCAGTAATTATTCCGTATTGTGGGGTCCAAAGAGGGCTTTTTAAACAATGGTCTACCTATTGCTTAATGGATATTGCCATCTGTCTACCCTCATTCATGCTTCCAGCTTGCCTGAATATTTCCCCCATTCCACCATCAGAGCCTTGCTTTCATCGTTGCACAGCTAGATTTCCTGCTTAATCGGAGTGCACTTATACATCTCTATACCTAGTCTCTCTCTCCTTGGCAATAATTGTTTATGATATCATGATAAAAACCACAGGCACATGGCCCAATATCAAATTCAGGCCTGTTAATATGTTTGATATGCTTAATTAATTTTTTGCCTTCCTTAACACTATGGTAACATGATGGAAAGACAGTATGGTCTTATTCCAAATTATAGTAACCCCTCATCCCATGTATTCACTTCCCTTACACCCTCATCCCATGTTGGTGTAAGGGAAGTGAGTATGTTACATTGCACTTTTCACACAGGGGATGGGGAGATTCTGGCTGTGCAGTTGACTTTATCTGCAGATTTCCTTAATACAGAACATGGAAGTGGCAGATCTCAGTACAAGATGTAGTGACTCAAAAGACCAAATAAGGAAGGGAGGGAAGGAGAAACGGAACGAGGTTAGTGTGAAAGATACTGGTAAAAATTTAAATGGGCAGAAGTTAGTGTACAGCATGGAATAGCATGATTACAGCCAGTGTCTGCTTCCTTCCTTGTTTCCCTTTTTCCATGCTTTGAGAAGGGTGTGATAGAAATCTACCCTTCAAGATAGAAAGATTTATGAACAACATGGACACAATTTTGAGACACTTATTCTGCTTTTCAATAATACTTCATAAGATACAAGTGGTTTAAAAGTAACAATTAAATAACTGGGACTTAATATTTCATTGTAAAACTCTGTATGTGTGTGCATGTTAGAAAGAGAGAGAGAAATCAAATAACTGCAGAATTTTATTAATTGTCCAATGATGTGGATTATAGTGAGGAGCATATCTAAAGGATATAATAGATTTATAAAGGTGATATTTGGATGATTTGTTGGAACTTTAATCTGTGGTTTCATCTATGGTTTGAGCTTTGATCGAAACAGCATTAAGAGTTCTGTGTGGCATTTGAAGTCTCTATTTTGGTGTCACCTAAAAGCCTCCCCAGCTGGCTGGATAGCTCAGTGGTTTGGTTGTCTAGCTGTGGGGCCAGAGGTTGGGAGTTTAATTTCCCCACTGTGCGTCCCAGAAGAGCCAGTGGGCAGAATGTACAGTCCCAGAGCACTCTCAGAAGCAGAGAATAATAAACCACTTCTGAGTACTCTGTAACTAGAAAACCTTGAAAACGGTTACTATAATTCAGAATTGACTTGATGAGACATGATTATTATTTTAAAAGCCTCACTTTCCCCCCCAAAATGAGGACCATTTTGTTTTGCAGAGTTGTAAATGAGGTAACTCCTCACACACAGTTTGGAGACACTCAGTAAAGTGTCCCGTGGGTTCTGTATGAGCTATGACTGTGAGAACCATTGCTCACGTGGACTCCGGGAGTTATTGCAAGATACTGTATGCATGCAGCAATGTCTATGTGCAGCAGTATGCTGCTCATAGCTAGAAATATACTGATAGGTCTTAGTCTTGTATACTTTGTGCCATGAAAAAACAAAAACAAAACAAAACAAAATCCCAGAAAACAGAAACTTGCTCATAGCTAGAAATATACTGATAGGTCCTAGTCTTGTATACTTTGTGCCACGAAAAAACAAAAACAAAACAAAACAAAAAATCCCAGAAAACAGAAACCATGAGGGGTAAGTGCAGTGGCCCTTGTTACTTCTCATGCAGAGCCTGGAGAATTATGCTTTAGCTACAGTTCTCAGAATCACCTGTCCAAAACATCCATTCAGGCTGGGGAATTCTGGGAATTGTAGTAGAAGGAACTTGCTTTTCTAAACTCTGTTCCTATGGCAGCACTGTTTGCCCCGGTGTCATGGGGAAATAACCACATGATGACATACATTCATTGTACTTCCTTTTTTTCAATGCTTTAGTGAAGTGTCTGGGAATTGTAGTAGAAGGAACTTGCTTGTCTGAACTCTGTTCCTATGACAGCACTGTTTGCCCCAGTGTCATGGGGAAGTAACCACATGATGACATACATTCATTGTGCTTCCTTTTTTCATGCTTTAGTGAAGTGGTATAAGCCAAGAGTATAAAAGTGGCATCTTGCCATAAACATAGTCTTTCGAGACTGAAGGATGCCATAAAGAAAGAATGTGAAAAAGGTCTATGATATTAACCACAATGGAAATGTGGCTGAGTGAGAGAGTTTAGAAAATAAACATGTCTGAGATAACGGGGATTAGTTTAATTTTGGGAAAGATGAAAAGAGTGATTGTCTCAGCATCACCCAAGTTGACCATTTTGATTTTGTGTCGTAGAATCAATTTAGGTCATTTCTGTGCATGTGTACTTCAGTCCAAAGAAGTCTAAATTTATGAAAGTCTTGTGCTACTTTTATCAAAGAGCAGCATAGTGAGCCCTGCTGTAAACTGCTGATTAGCTTCTCCAAGTTCAGACAGCAGCTGATTATGCTGTTCACGAAGACTACTGTTCAGCAAACACTCTGTTGCATATGTACAACCCTTTGCATTGCATGTAATCCTGTCCCTCTCATGGGCAGGATTATTATTCACAATATGTTTAATGCCCAATGCCAAACATCTATTTTCTCTCCTGCATCCTGATATCATTTCTTTGTTGTTTATATTCTGTATGAACAACATATTTTATTCCATTGCTACTATACTGTAGTAGCTCTGCCATTTTTCATTTGAAAATACATTTTTTCTGGATTGCATTCTCAGTTATGGTGTTACTGATGCTAAAGAGGCAGCACAGCTCTCATTGAAGAAGTCTCCTTTTTATATTACCTTGGTATTGCTGGCAAAGTCCCCTTACATTTTGGGGTAAGCCACTCCAATTCATTCAACAAGCTACTCCACATTTGATTCCTAAGCTATTTAAATCCCTCTCCCCTCATCTTGTATTTGTTAGGGTTCATTCAGACTTGCAGGTCATAATGTGAAGTTACAAATAATCAAACCATGAAGATATATTTGTGAGGTTCAAATACCTGGCTGTTCGTACCTCCCTTTTGTTGAACAATGAGGCAAGCCTATATTTTGGGTTAGAATTTCGAGTCAAGGTGCGACATCTGAAGTTGATGTTCTTCAGTTTCCATAGGCTAGCTGAGAGTTCCTTGTCTGAACCTGATCCCCTAACTGTGCTTATAATGTACTTGCAATGATGTTTTTTCACCAAAAAGCGAGAAGTGTGGGGAGTGGGCTGGGGAGAAAACCAATGAATTCTTGAACCCAGACTCATTGTGCCCTTTTGAGCAAAGCAGAGAGTGGAACACTAGTGTCACAAGCTTTCTTGTTGCACGGCAGCGGTGCAGGGCCAGGAAGCCAATTCCCCATGTCATGCTGTGTGCCATCTGGAGGATCTCCCATGTGTATGTAAAGGATGTGAACTTAGTAGCAGTGCTAGGAACCAGTTTAGCTGTTGAGCACATTTTGCCATCAGGCCAAATGTTTTCCCCTCTGCTCTGGGTTGCCATTTTACCTGATTGGATGCATTTGACCTCAGTTCTTGGCCTATTTATCCAGACTTTTGTCATGCCCATTTCTACAGTCAGCTGGCACAGGTGCAGCTCCCCTCTCAATTCTCACCTGCCTTGCCTTGTGATATCACAAAGGACAACCCTATGACATTGTAAGGAACCACCTTCTCGATTCAGGTGTTTGCCCAGAAATCTCAGAGAATGGTCCGGCAATCCTATATTCTACTGTGGAGGTCAAATGAATCAGGGAAAGATTTTGCATGCACAAATGCTTTTTAGAAATCTTTTGACTGGTGTGCAGTTTTGACTTCTTATAAGCAAATTGGATAACATTTGCTTTTGAGGAAAGATGAATGAAATCAAAGAATCAAGCCTACTTTAATCTATTTGAGTCACATCCTTAGAAATTATTGGTATCTTGTCTGAAATAAGATGTCCTACCCTGATTGCTTATAGCACAGAAAAAAAAAAACATTTGAAAGGGATATTGTCATAGGTCAAACAGAGGTGGACTAGAATGCTACCTGTGATTGCGAATACATAAATGGTGGTGGTTTGAAGGAACTGGGGCCAAAATATTTGAGCATTCAGCTAACATTTAAATTACACATGTTTATCTTATTAATATGATTTGACCATGTCTGAAAAATTGTTGTTCCGTGCCATCAAGTTGCCTCTGACATATGCCAACTCTATGAATGAGCACTCTAAAATGTCCTTTCCTCAGCTGCTCTGCTCAGCTCCTGTAGACTCATGCCTGTGGCTTCCTTTAGGGAGTCAATACATCTCATGTTGGCCTTCCTCTTTTCCTTCTGCCTTCTATCTTCCCCTGCATCATTGTCTTTTCCAGAGAACCATGCCTTCTCTTGATGTGCCCAAAGTAGGACAGCCTCGGTTTCAACATTTTTGCCTCCAGAGATAGTTCAAGTGTAACTTGATCAAGGACCCACCTGTTTGTCTTTCTGGAAGTCCAGGGTATCTGCAAAGTTCTCCTCCAGCACCACATTTCAATTGAATCAATGTTTTGCCTGCCAGCTTTCTTTACTGTCCAGCTTTCACACTTATACATGGTGATCAGAAATGTAAGTCTGGATGATCTTGGTCTCCAAGACCTGGCACTTAAAGATCTTTTCTAATTTCTTCATCGCTGCCTTTCCTCGTCTCAGTTTTGTTCTGATTGCTTGGCTGCAGTCTCCCTCTGGATTGAAGTATTTAAACATTTGTGTGGACTGTCTGGCCTTTGCTTTCATAAATTTGTAGGTTTAAGTGATGAAAATTATGAGGTCTTGTTGCATCACTTCCTGATTTATTAGTTTGTTTTTATATTCCTAGGTCCTCCAGAAGAAGATGGTCCGCAGCAGCATTTATTGACTTCAATGCTGATCCTGATTCTGGTGTTTATAATTTTAATCCTTCTAGCTGGCTATTTCTTTAGGTAAGTGTGACTCAGTCATACTTGGCTCAGAACTAGTTGAATCTTGTTTCCTTGTAATCAGACAAGGAAATGAAAGTGTGTACATGCAGCTGTGCTGACTGTAGTCTACCGCATTGGTTACAACGGCAGAGGATGTTACACCCTGCTTCTCTCTCTGACCCAGTAGACGCTCTTACAATCAAAATATGATTAGAAGAAGATTATCCACGATTAGATGGTTTGTGAAACATGATCTGCTATAGTAATTTAACTGTAACTTATTTATTCCCCTGAAGTAGAGAGTTTCCTTCTTAAATGCATTTAATTGTGTTTCTTCAGGTTCAGGAAACACAGAAAAGCAGTGGTGAATTCTGGTGATAAAAAAATGCCGAATGGAATTTTGGAAGAGCAACAGCATTATACATTTAATGTACTTCATGTTGGGTATTTTAGCTTTCAAAGGCAGTAAGTAGAATTTTGAAAAAGGAATTTTGCTGGTATGAAAATACTAGTTACATTTATGTTCTTTGAAAAAAAACTGTGTTGCTTTTCAAAATAGGCTTTTGTTTGATATAGCAGCATGTATCTTGTATTTGTAACTGTTTATAAAATTTTGTAGGGAAGCTCTAATTCATCTTTATTTTCAACAAAGTCTGTATATCGGTATTTGTGAGATTTTATTTAGAGCCATGTACTACCATATATTATATATGCTTGTTGTACAAAATAAATTGAGTATACACCAGTCTGAGATAAAGTTTGATAGAGTTCGATATAAATATTTCAGACCAATAAATACATCAGAAGTATGTATGAATGTGTTAAAAAGACATGTGAAAAGACATGTATCATATAGATTTGCATGTTAAGGAATCCAAATTGATTGCCATTCTCTGTTGAATAAACACTTGGAAGCAAGTCTGGGTTTCTGTATAATGTGTGAAACAGCCTTAAGTAAGTGAAATTGACAGTTGCCGATGCATAGGGTAGTATTGCAATATGCAAGTACAACACATGATTAAAAACCATGGCGCTTAATTTATTGCATCTTCCTGTGTGCTAAAACAAAAACAGTGTGATGTTAGCGACACACTCTATGTGTTCACAGTGCACCCATTTGTGGGCTGGAGGGCAGCCCATCTTGGCTCTCTATCATAACTGCAGCTTTCCTCTATCTCTCTGCCCTCCTTATTTAGAATTTTTTTTAAAAAAGCCATAAATGGTGCCAATGTGGATTCTTAATAAGTACTATGATTCCATTCCTGTGGTGGGATGAGGCCACTGCTACAATGCTAATAAAAAGTCTAATGGTCATATGTATATGTCTGGTGGTTTTGCTGCCAGGGAAGGAAAATCGATATTGGAATAATCTTCCCTGCATGCTGCAAGTAGGCCATTTAGAGGTCTCCACTGCTGCTAATGGAGGTCTTAAAAACACCACCACCAACAACAAGAACAACCTGCCGTGTAGGGAGAGGATTTCTTTCTTTTTTTCTGAAAGAGGTGGTCATAACTGGAAAAGGAAGAGTTAATCCTCTCTCCTTGAGCACTGCATTTTCCTTTAAAAAGTTACACCTCCTACAGTAATAAGACCTATAAGATGCTTCCATTGGCTTTGTGGGGAGATATTTCTGTGGAGGGCAGAGATAAGTCTCTTCTCTCTGTGTGCTGAAGAGCAAGCTAACACTAGTGATTGTTTAAAAGTCAGACAAGTAAATCATCATCATCATCACCTTAGAACTGCAGACCTGGAAGAGACCCTATAGATCACTGAGTCCAACCTCTGTCAAGGAAGCACAGTGGGGAATTGAACTCCTAGCCTGTGGGTCTGGAGCAAGATACCAAAACCATCAAACTGTTAATGAAAGAGAACTCTCTGTCATGAAAATATAAATCACTTCGACTTTTCATGGCACTATAAATATATTTATAGTGTCATTATTGGAAGAATTAATGCCAGAATTAATTGGATATCTGTTACATTTGATATTATTAGCCAGTACTGAATTGAACCAAGAATCCGTGATAGTTTTCTAGAGAACCTTGTATTGTTAGGCAGCATATCACTGCCTAACAATACAAGTATTGTTCAGTTCCTCACTGTGTCTCCATGACAGGAGCTAGACTTGATGATCCATAGGGTAACTTCCAGCTCTGCAGTTCTAAGGTAATATAAGATATTTATACTGTCAGTGTGGTGTAGTGGATAGAATGAGGGACTAGGACCAAAGAGGTCTGGGTTTCAATGCTTTCTTATCCGTAGAAATTCACTGGTGGGTATCAATGGTTAAAAACATTCCTGTAATATTTCACATAAATTAAAAACCCTACTACCCACAAAATATTCAGGTAGTCAGTTGGGTGTTTTTATATACATTTTCTGTTTCACACTAGCCATACAAAAATGTTTCCATTTTAAAAAAGAAAATGAAGGAAAAGTCCCACTGCATTTTCATTTATTCATAAAACATTCTTGTTATCATTTTCTGACAGAGCAACAAACAGTCATGCTTCTGAGGAGGTCTCCATCTGGCCCAAAGAAATACTTTCCTATTCCAGTGGAGCATCTAGAAGGGGAGATACGGAAAAGAGCTGCTGATGATGGAAAATTGTTTCGGGAAGAGTTTAATGTAGGTCATCTTACGCGACTTTGTTTTACTTTTCTCCGGCGAAAAAGGTGTAGCAAATAAAGCTAATAAGACCTTATTATAGCTTTTCAGAAATTACATACATAATGTTGATATTTGTTTTTAGTTTCAGGCTAGAGATGGGGATGAATCGCCGTTTCGGCGACTTGTCGTGCTTCGTGATCCATCAAAGTTGGTGAAGCACGAATCTCCTCCCCATGAACTGATGTTTCGTGGAGGGCTTTAGACAGCGAGAGGCTATCTTTTTAAAAAAGCTGACCCCCCACCCACACAGCCTGCCCCTCTACCACCTTCCCACTGTTGCCTCCTTCCCTTGGCTGCCACAGTCTGTGCCGCTGCCACCACCTGTGCCACAGTGGCCTCTGCAGTCACCATCCAGCACCACTTACTGCGATGGCCTCTGCCACTATGGCCTGCAAAAGAGAAGCGGCAGCCGTCATCTTTGCAAAGGGCAGTCTGGATTCCCTTAAGGCAGGCCGTGGCTGCAGAGGCCACCGCAGCGGGTAGCAAAGGATGGTGGTGGCAGCGGGCGGCAGTAGATGGCGGCAGTGGCTAAGCTAGGGAGGGGAAGGGGGCAGGGAATAGGCTCTGGGGGTGGGTGGCTGTGGGACTGGCTGGCTGCCTATCAACTGATCGGTGGGCTCATAGGCAGAATGGGAAAGCCATAGGAAGAGAGGGAAGGCTAACCCCCTCTCTCTCTCTTCATATGGGGGGTTTCATGAATATCACTATCCATTTTTTTGTCCCTATGTCTACTTTGG